CCTTCCTTCCTTCCTTCCTTCCTTCCTTCCTTCCTTCCTTCCTTCCTCCCTCCCTCCCCTCTCTCTCTCTCTCTCTCCCCCTCTCCCTCTCCCTCTCTCTTTTCCTTACTTTATATTAGTTTCTATTATAAAGGCTTTGAAATATGCATTTATTTATTTATTTAAGAAATTAACATTCCCAGTCCTTTTATAGTTCACATTTCTTTTTTTCCCCCTTTCTCCTTTACGTTTTGCTCTAGGCGCAGACTTGCCTGCAGGAATCGTCTCAAAAGATTGATCTTTTCCGACTGTCCCTGGAGCACCTTTTGAGCAAACTTTCTCCAGATCACCCAAAACGGGGGCTAATCAAGCAAGAAATAACAAACACCTTCTCTCTTGGGGCTCAACAGTTCCCCCCAACTTTGATCAAGCCCACGGCTCTCACAGGTATCTTTTAATCCTTACTGTGCTCAGAGAAGGGGAGCAAGACATGGAAATGAAGTGGAACAACCAGACGTTCTTCTCTTTTCCAGTTTTAACATTTTATTTTAGATGCCAAAGAGAGAAAAACAGAGAGGTTTACAAACACCTCCCCCCAGATAAACTGGTAATTGAAATTAGTCTTATATATAATTCATTCCATATTATACAATCTAATATTTAATGTGTAAATTACTGTGAGGTGTCTTCACATTACAAAAAGGGGCTACTGGGTATATAAACCAGGATATGCCTCCTAGGACTTTCATTTCAGTGATAAAATGCTTGTTCAAGTATAAAAAGAGAAGTACATTTTTCATATTCTACAATTAGTGGCCAGATTCTTCCACACTTGAACTAGATATATTTTTTCAATCTTAAAAGATTGCAATGTTTATTCCCCTTGTTCTTCTGCTGGTTTCCAAACTGTCGCTAAGGGCAAAAACCAGTGAAAGGCGTATATAAAATCATTTCTTTTCGAAAAGGAAATCCCTGTGGCAGAATTTGCGTTTTGACGCCTCCTCTTCGTAGAGGTGCCAAAGCGTTCTGTGCTTCGGCTGGCGATCGCGCCCAGTAATTTCCTCTTTCTTGCTTATTTGGACCCCCCGATTTTTACTGAAGAGCTGATCCTACCTCCCCATAATTTTATTTCAGGATAGGTGTGTGCTGATCCATTGGGTGAAACCAAAACTTGATGTGAGACATAAGGCAGGATGTGATTGCTGGACTGGTATGGAGGAAATCAGTTTGAATGAGAGGAAGTGACATTCCGAAGTTTTGTGCATGGAAAAAAACCAGACAGAATGAAATCTTAACTCTCATCTGAGTTGCGAAACTGTGGATAATTTTAAAAGGAAGACAGAGGTTCCCTTTCTAATAACATACAGACTCTCTGGCAGCTGGAAAGATTCAAATGCAAATGTATGGATTTGCTTGCACTAATTAAAGTCCACTGCATCAGATCCGTTAAATATTATTTTTATTTTATTTTATTTTATTTTATTTTATTTTATTTTATTTTATTTATTGTATTGTATTGTATTTTACTTTATTTTATTTTATTTATTGTATTGTATTTTATTTATTGTATTTTATTTTATTTTATTTTATTTCATTTCATTTATTTTATTTTACTTTATTTTATTTTATTTATTGTATTGTATTTTATTTATTGTATTTTATTTTATTTTATTTTATTTCATTTCATTTATTTTATTTTACTTTATTTTATTTTATTTATTGTATTGTATTTTATTTATTGTATTTTATTTTATTTTATTTTATTTCATTTCATTTATTTTATTTTACTTTATTTTATTTTATTTATTGTAT